CAGATGCAATGGAGGGGAGAAGGGGGACGGGGGGAACACCCCTCAAAGAAGGGAGTGCGAGGGTCGCCACGAGAGGCACCTACAGCTACAATACTCTTCTCAGCTGCAAGGAGCTCCTTCTCGAGCAGGTCGACAGTGAGGTCAGTGGGAGAGAGGGCGATAAAGTGGTCCCTGACAGCGCGAAGAGAGTCAGGGAGGCGAGTGACTAGGTGGTACAGCGTGAGGTACATCGGGGGAGGGTTCTTGGCGAGGAAATCAGGAGGAAGCGCGGCACGATAGCGGAGATCACTAGTACGGAGGTGAGTGATAAGGTCAGCTACAGTGGCAAAGGCGGAGAGATCGGGGAAGAGATAGGGCAGTGAGAGACGGCCTATCGCAGCAGTAGCAGGGGAGGAGTAGCGCGCAACTACAGCATCGTACAGTTCCTTCGCGGTCTTATGCTGGCCAAAGTGCTCGCGCTCATCTAACGGCAGGTGGCTGCGAACGGCTAGGCGAGCGTGAGCGTCACGGGTCTGCCACTGTGAGCGAGCTGTACTGTCAGCGGTAGCAGCAGGTGCGAGAGCTACGCCGGACGTGTGGTCAAACAGAGAAACATCGTCCTTGGCAGTGATCTGGAGGAACAGGTGCAGGTCATCGAGCCAAACGTCAAACTTAATCGGGCGGCCCTCAGAGTCAAAGGTGAGAACGGTAGGACTAGCCATAGTGGCAGTAGCAGCAGTAGCAGTAGCAGCAGTAGCAGTAGCAGTAGCAGTAGTAGCAGGAGTAGCTGTAGCAGGAACAGGAACAGCAGTTGCTACAGGTGGGGCGGCGCGGCTCGATCAGGGCGGCGCGACTCGGGCGGCGCGACTCGGGCGGCGCGACTCGGGCAGGCAGGGCGGCGCGACGGCGGGCCAATGCTCGGTGCGCGGCGGCGCCTAAGGTGCGGCTGTGCGCGGGCCGCGGCTCCGTTCGTGCTGGTGGCGGCCTAAGGGGACGCGGCGGCGGTCGACGGGCGGCTAGCGGGCCGCACTAGGTGTCGCGGCGGCGGCCTAAGGGGACGCGGCGGCGGTCGACGGGCGGCTAGCGGGCTGCGCGTGGGCGGCGACGACGGCGCGAGCGGCTAGCGGGCCGCGCGCTCAAGAAACGGGCCGCGCACGGGCGGCTAGCGGGCTACGCGACGGGAAAACGGGCCGCGCGCGCGGGTTGCTAGCGGCTGCGCACGGGCAGCGTAAGAGGAGAGGAGGCGCGCGAGGGCGCACTAGGAGCGAGGCGTACGAGGGCGCTAGGAAAGGACGGCGCACGAGGGCGCTTCGAGCGGAAACGGTGGGCCCTAAGAACGGTCCTAGGTTCCTAACCCTAGGCTCGTAATACCATGTCAGAATGAGTGAAGTGATTGCACTAGGAAAGTTGGGAGTACAAGTATGAAACCCTAGAGATTGTACCCCCTAAGGCTAAACCCACTACAGCCTACAGAACACAAACATATACAATGTTTGACAGATTGTGTCGCACTGGTCCTTAACGCTGATTGAGACGCAAATGACGGTAATTCCGTGTGGAAGTGCGGGAATGTTGTTAAAATTAATGTGACCCTAAAACCAGTAGAGTTACTGTTCCGTAAGTTATTGCAAGCTGATATGGTTGTTACTCTGAAGTGGACTGTATTATTAGAGTTCGTGAGCACAATAACAGTTCGTATAGCGCAGTGGTGTTCTACTCAGGAAATGTGCGACGCGCGAAATGTACATTGACGCGGGAATGCTAAATGTGCGACCCGCTGCAAATGTGCGGCCCGAGGCATGAACTGGGCGGTGCGAGCCTCAACACCCGAAAAACTCACTAACGGAGTTGAGCAATCCGTGACTTATGCGTAACTGGGGGTTTGGGGTCTTTTGGGAGCTATCTGGGACGTTTTGTACGTTCTTCCGTAATAAAACCTCCGGGCGTCATAATTGCGGATCCGCCTTTTCCGCGATGTAGGGGGGGGGTATGGGTGAGCTGACCCACCATACCAAACATGCTCGTTTATCCCAGTCGATAAGCGAACTGGGGCTATCTCTACAAGACACACACATGTATGCACGGACAAAACCATATAGGCTGTGCATGCATAACGAAAGCCACTAGCACACCCTAAAGAGACGCCTAAACGCCCTAAGGACTCAAAAAGAACCAGCGAACGCTGTTTCTTTTAGTTTCGATCACACCTTCTCTCAACACTAAGTGCGCACACTGAAATGATGAACCCCCGCGCGTTGCACTGGATGTACTCCCACAGGTCGCAGCGGCGTGAGCGGTTGGAGTTGGACGTCCACAGCAGCCACGCGGCATTCAGCACCACCAGCGCGCGCACTGTTTCCTCTCCCCCCCCCCCCCACCGTGCGGCCCCCACCCCCGCCCCCCGGTGCACAACCCAGCACAACCAGCACATACGGAGCAAGGAACGAAGCAAGAAGCTGGATAAGCCTGCATCAGGTGACGGAAGAGCAGGCTGTGTATATAAGAGGGCCCATGTGACGCAATTGGACAATGCCGCATTGTTCTGGGGACAGCGCACTCAGATGGGAGCTGAATGGGTAATAGGCTCATCGCATTTGCCAGTCTCGACGGAGAGTCGTTCTGGGATGGGCTCGATGGGCTTGCCGAAAGGGGCAGAGAAAACTGAGCAGAGGGGGCAAGGGAGGAACATTGAGTTTTTTATCAACCAAAAAAGCGCAGTTTGGGTGGGGCTGGGGTGACACTCTATCCGCGAGAAATACCGGCTAAAAATGGAAAAAAACTAAAATATGAAGTAGCAAACGCAGGACAAACGGGACAAATTGAGCAGATTGGACATTCCAGGAATGTCTAAAATATTGCGGGGAAGTGACTAGTAGGGTCACGTTTTGGATTCAAGACCCCCGATGTTTTTAAGTAAGTTTCAAAGCTTTGAGGGAGTGACTCCGCTTGAAGTGACAGAAAAGTGTCTTCAACACCGCGGGTCTCCATACAATAGGATTCACTCAATCCCTTGGAAAACAATCTCAGCCTTACGCTGGCTCTCAGCGAGGGTCGTCGGCCCCGCGTCGATCAGGCCATCCCAAAAAAGTTTGGCCCAAAAAGCCCCCCCCAGGTTACCCACAGCTTACCCCTTGGGGGGTTACCCCGGGGTCCTTGTCTAGGTGACACGCGGGTCACCTCTGCAGCTTTCGCTTCGCGTGGTGACCCCGAGGTCACCCACAGGTGGTGACCCACAGGGGACCCCTCCCATCCTGCAGGAGCGAATCACACGCGAGCCGCGTCCTCGCTGTGAAATGCATCGCCAAAACCACCAATTTTTGCCTACAGTAAACTAACCGACACTAAAATATAACCGTTAACAATATTGAAAGTTACATTCCGTTATAGCCCATAAACTTTAGATAAATACGAAACGTAATCCTGCGTTTATATAATTTCGCAATAATGAATTCCATCATGTATAGCTGTTACCAAATTCACTTCATATATTTCATCCCTTTGCAATCGTTATCACTTCCATTAGTCAATATCCACATTTAAAGTACAACATTGCAGAACAAGAGTACTATTTGACCTCTTTCTAACATGCAAACAGCGTCCACCCTACACACATCACGTTATAAAATCTATGACACTCACTTAGGAGAGTTCCCGCACAAACCTCACTACCCATGTTTAATGATGTGCTCCTGCAACACAAGAGACGACAAAAACAAGAACAAAATAGATAGCATGTTCTTACCTCACGAATACGTTATATAGTGTGACAAGATGGCCTCCGGATTCTGCACAGAGTGGCGACATTCGGTCAGGAAGAGGGTGAGGAATGCGTTGTGAAAAAAACTTTGCGACAAAGTCAATGGAAAAGAAGGAAACAAAATGCATGAGGAAACCTGGCTGCTGATAATGAAAAATGATGCGTCGTACAATGAAAGCCATGAAGCAAACGGAATGAGCGGCGCTCTTCCTGCAACCCCACCGTTTTGCATTTCAGCTTACCTCACGACGAGCACTAGGAGCTTCACTGAACAACAATTCTTAGGTCGATACGCGTCGATGTCAAAAAACCACGCTTCGCTCCTCGTGTTCGATAATCTGCCATGAAGAACCGATCATGAAATAAGAGAGATTAGATGCATGTCATTCAAACAACGGCCACATATAAGTACTATGACGTCGCTGGTGGAAAAGAGACGGAACCTGATTCCTCCATCGCGAAAAAGGGAAGTTGCGATTTTTTGCCTCCGAAGGTTTTTCTGCGAAAAGTGTGCGGAAATGTTGCGCGAAGTATCCAAAAAACAACGATCCGAGATCGCAACTTTCCGTACACAATCTGCGAAAGCGAAGACCAGTGGAAAACAGTCACTCCGAAGTGACGTGAACACAGCGCCCTAGGTTTCGTCGGTCAAGAAAGATTTCAAAAGGTGATGCGGAGTGGCATTGTCAAAGTATGCACATGTGCGAAGATCACGAAAATGTAGACAGCCATGAAGGCAAGCGAAGTTGAAAATGTGGATACAATAATTTCGTATTTTTCCCAAACCTGAACCTGAGTGACGTGTGAAGCCAAACAATCTTTTACAACCAATCACGACCCTTCGTTATCTACACGTCATCACACCAACACTTCACAACCAAACCCTACCTTCGCAAATATGCCCACCACAGGCATCTACCCCGTACACTTGGCAGACTTCTGTGCTTCTATTGGGCAGCCCAGTTTCTTCATCGAACGCACAGCAAGCTCACTATACTTGTTCATTCTAGTTCTTTCTTCCTGCTCTGTTCTGTAATCCAGCCTCGACCATTCCACTTCTGCCTGGTATTCCCCTCTGTTACAGCGTCTGTCTGAGACCGCCATTAGCGGGCCCAGGGACCCTAACTAAGCTAGATTAGGATTTATAGTAACCTCACGTTGTCAATTTTTGGCGCTAAAGTTAACCACGCTCTCGCCTTGACATCCTCTGTTTCCCATCTGTCTTCCGCCCCCTACTTCTTCTTTTTCCCAATCCCGTCAACAGGTATTGACGGTAAATCTTCGTCTACCAGCCTGGGAGCGACGGATAATCGTGGCATCTGACAGATCGCTAGGCGCATCTTCCGCTACGGCTTCGGAAGTCGTTCTTGAGCCGCGCCATTGGCGTCGGCTCCATGGCGAGGCCATCACCATCGCGCTGCAGCAGCTGCGCGGGCTGCAAGGGTGCACATCCTTCCGCTCGCGCTACGTTTTTTAACGTCGTCACTACGCTGCGTTCGCAAACGTTGTTGTTTGCTGTTTTATCTCACTTTGTATACATCTTAAACTGCCTCACGTTTTCAATTTGATATGTACCGTCGATTTATCCGTCCGAACTGCCATTCCTCTTTGCAGATAAACGGTTCAACGCCTTCTTGCGGACGACATGCGTGCAATTCGCGACGCGAAAGCGCATGTTCGGCAACTGATATTCCCCCCCCACACCTGTATCTCACGTACTGAAACCTACGACCTACCTCAGAAACCATTCTCTTGTTTTTTTTCTAATCAACGTCCACCACAAGCGCGCTTCTGGTTCCTTCGACTAGCAACGAAGTACTGATGTTGATCCTACTATGATGCCACTTATTTACCGGCGGTTTTTTCCGCCTCCTTCCGTGATGAACATTTGCACGTCAGTGTTGATGTTAGTGCCTCATTCTGGACTTTCTCCCTTTTTATTTACCCTAACATTCCCCTTTCCATGTCGACGACTTTCAACACTTTTGCGGATGACATGCACACAGATAATGACGCTTATGCGCCATTCCAGCAGCTACTTCTGCAGCAATTGGGAAGGTAAATGACTATCGGTGATGTATACGTTTTCCACGGTTTCGCCATATGTCATATGTTTGCAGTCCCAAGTCATGTAACCTTGCTTCTTACGTTTGCATCTACATCTTCTATTCAGTTAGACACTACCAGTGTGCAGCATCTCACTCGTCGCCATTCTTGACTATCGGTTTAGGCGAACGTCGTCGCCAACCTTGTGTGTGCAGGCTTCACAGATGTGAACGTCATTGCTAAACAATTTTTTTCTTGCAGGAGTATAAATTTAGGCTTATCGTCAACCTGTATCGCGGTATGTATACTTTTTCAATATTAATGTATACTCCATTATTACTAACCCCATGGTGAGTGTTAAAAACGCAACGTTGGTTTTGCTCTTTAACTAATTTCCATGTATACATTTTCTTGTTAACTTTTCTTTCAAAGATGCAGGTCTACAAACCTAGCACTGCAGGATAAGTTAGGCGTAAGTGTAGAGACGACAAATGTGTACAGCATGTGTGCGTTGTGAATACTAATACTGTATGGAGAAAAAAATACAGTAAAACTTCTGCTAATGTCTGGTCAATCAAATGTCTACAGGGATTTTTCTAGAAAATGCCAGCCAATCGTAAATTGTAACTCTACACCAAATCGCAGGCTATGATTGGTCCACATCGCAATATCTCGTGCGTCGAGCAGATTCTAATCCGACGGTTGTCGTTAGAGTACGACAATCGCCACGTCAGCGTTTCTGGATTTCATCTAGAGTACGGCGTACGCCACGTGGCGTCGTCATGACACTTTCGCACAGGTTTACGGAAATGTTGCTTTACTGTATACTTGGTCAGTTGCCCCAATGTGTACAGTTAGTGACGGAAGAGTGACCGGGAAGTTGCTTGGTAAGTGACGGTCGGTATGCAGATTTAAAACCTTGACTCAAAAATGCCGGGCAAAAAATATCGGGAAAGTTGCGGAAGAGTGTATTTTGAGTTGCTTTTCGAACTTCCCATTTTCGCGATGTCAACTTAAACGCGAAATCTAACCACCATTAGAATCTCACCAACAAGCTGCTACTAGTTCAAGTAAGCTGCCTGGAGCTCTCGTAGTAGCTGCTCTACGTGGGTATCACGAGCAAAAAACGACCTGAGGAATGACGAGTGGATAACAGGATGGATAAGAATAATACTCGAAAAGTGCTGGGAGAGGAGAGGCAGTAGCAGGTGGTGTCGAAGAGCTCCGATTGGTTGGTGAACTAAATTGTGCCACGTAGCCCAACCCATCACTGTAATTACCATGTACTGAGCGATGCGATAGTAAACTTAGAATCAGAGAAGAAACAACCGTAATTTATCAATTCGACATCACGAGAAACGAAGGGTACAGTAAAAGGCTGACCGTACCATTCCCGTACGTGGCTGCCTTGGCAGAAACAGAGTAGCGACAAAGTAGGCAGGCCCAGGAACTTTCCCGCCAAGGTTGGGGTAACCTCGGGGTACCCTCCCGAACTGTAAATAATTCCGATTGGTCTAATTTTCTGTTACCACGTTCGGCGCTAAGGTTCGCGGTCGTCGCTCACGTCGCCAGTGTCTGGGGGTAAGCTGTAGGTAACTCATAGGGAACTTGTGGATCTCCCCGTGAGGGTGACTCTGGGGTCACCATCATTCTCAACATCACAAAAAACAGGGTCGGAAATCAGACCGCATTCGGTTGGAATTCTGTCAGACCCTCGGAAATCTGACGGAAAACTTTGGGGTTCTTCCGTCAGAAATCATACCACTGGATCGATGGTGTTGTCAGAATGTTATGCTCTAGCCTGTAGTGGGGTGCTCTATAGCGAGTACAACCCTTCTAGGGTTTGCTATTTGTATCCTCATTCCTGCTAGTGAACCTCCTCTTTGCCTAAACTGTTTCTTGCCTAGCTAGGGCTTTCCTAGCTATGGCGCCTTCTTCTACTGCTTATCTTCACAGGTGTTTCCAACCGATTTCCAGTCAGATTTCCGTCAGACAAGTACCAACAGTTTTCCGATGGTTTGCTCTCAGAAATCCGACAGTTTTCCGAGCTGGTCGCGCTTCGGGTGAAACTGATTGCCCCAACAATAAATTTGATAAGAAATATACTGTAGATACAATACACTATTAAGTGCAATGTTGATTGGTATGTATGAAAGAATCCTTATTATTATTTCCCGGAAATTTGATAGCAATATACATTTCACAAAATTCAAAAAGCAGAACGAATTTCATATAATATTCCTTGGGGTGCTGTAATTCAATTCTTCAGTAAGCAACGCTTGTCGTGCTTTACATAATATAATCATTATAAATTGCAGTACATAGAATATAATATGACAAACTGTGGCAAAACCTCATGATAGTATATTTAAGAATAGCACAGAACAAGTTTTAAAAGAACAAATAGGCAAGGCAGCACCTACTAGTACACGGAATAACCTGCAGACCTTGCCGCTGCAGCAGCAGAACAGAACGTCATGGTAGCTGTTGCAGCTGCAGCAGCAGAACGGAAAGCAAAGAGAACATTGAGTCACGCTAAAAAAAAAAAAGCTAAACATGCCTACGGACATACTTACGTGCAATGGCGTTACCACAATACACTTCGTATTTCCGATAACAGCTTGAAATGATGGTCTGCGAAATCGGCATACAAAAAACAAGTTAGTCGACAGTTTACCATGCAGGCAGGGCAATAAGGCATCCGAATGTTAAAGTTTAGAAGAAAGAAGAGCAGAAGGGGGGGAGCACTAGCAAGAATGGGGATACAAATAGCAAACCCTAGAAAGGTTGTACTCGCTATAGAGCACCCCATTACAGGCTAGAGCATAATATTCTGACACACCCCCATAGCCAAAGTGGGGTGTAATCAGCAGAGCAAGCAAAGCAGGACAAGCTCAGGGTGGATCACAATGTCACCACACATTCTGAGCACAAGTTCAAGAAGCAATAGTTTAGAGTTAACAATTATGAGCAAAGCTAGTGGTAGTCACAACGGGCAAGTGAGGAGGAGGAGAGAGAGTGAGAGGAGAGGAGATAGGAGGCGACGGCTGAAGCTGCAGACACACGGGCAACAGGAGGCAGACTGGCACAGCGGCTACCGGACTAAGCGCCCGGACTACAGGAGTAACAGGCCCCGCGGCTAAAGTAGCGGCAGACGAGCAACGGACCCACGGGCGGCTGGCACAGCTGGCTACGACTGGGCTACCGGACGAAGTCCCCGGAATACAGGTGCTGCTGGCGACACGACGGCAACCTCCATGCAGCTTCCCCAAACGGTCTCACCCCCCCCGACACACACCCGCTGCTACACCGCTAGCTCCACTCCCACGCACCCCCCCTTAAACCCTAAACCCCAGTCTCCCACACAACCACCCCCCTCAGCGACAGCTGCAGCAGTGGGAGACGAAGGAGGAGGAGGAGCAAAGGGAGGAATGCACAGCGGCCACCCCCATACCCGCCACCCCACAGCTCGCCCCTCCCGTCGCCTGTCGAGGCGACCTGAGGGGGCCGCAAGCGGCCCCCTCAGGTCGCCTCGACAGGCGACGGGAAAAGGGGAAACCCGAAGGAGGGGGGGGGGGGGGGGGGGGGGAGGCGGGGCCGGGGCCGGGGCCGCGACAGGTAGGGCGACGGGCCGCACGTAGGGCGGCGAGACGACGGGGCCGCGGCCAGAGGTGGCGGGGCCGTGAAGGAAAGCGGCGGGGCCGCGATGGTGGGGCGGCGGGGCCACGATCGGAGGTGGCGGGCCCGCGACCGGAGGTGGCGGGGCCGCGAAGGAAAACGGCGGGGCCGCGAGAGTGGGGCGGCGGGGCCGCGACGGGTCCCCGTCGCCCGTCGCGGCGTCTCCAGAGGGCGACGCGACGAACGACGGGGCAGAAGCCCGTCGCGCGCCTCGGGGCGCACAGCGGGCAGAGAACCGCCGCGCGCCTCGGGGCGCACGGCGGGCAGAAAACCGCCGCGCGCCTCGGGGCGCACGGCGGGCAGAAAACCGCCGCGCGCCTCGGGGCGCACGGCGGGTAGAAAACCGCCGCGCGCCTCGGGGCGCACGGCGGGAAGAAAAACTGCCGCACGCCACGGGGCGTGCGGCACAGAGAGTAGCAGTAGCAGTTGCAGCGGAAGCAACAAGGTGGTGAGCCCACCCACAGGATCGATCCAAGGGGATCGACCTGCTCTGATAGCATGTTAAAGTTTAGAAGAAAGAAGAGCAGAAGGGGGGGAGCACTAGCAAGAATGGGGATACAAATAGCAAACCCTAGAAAGGTTGTACTCGCTATAGAGCACCCCACTACAGGCTAGAGCATAATATTCTGACACCGAAACACAGAAGAGAAACAACAATCGCGCCATTCGTGTTGCCGATCTTTCGCCAATTCCTCAGTTCTGCGTCAGTAAAAATAAAA